CTTAGCATGATCACTTGTGGTCCGCATATAAGTATCGGAGAGGAAGTGAGAGATATATACTGTATACCGTCTGAGGAAGCTTGCTCTCCTTTAGCGCTCTCTCTCTCTCATGTGTGCCGCGCTTTTTGTTGATTAGTGCCGACCTTTATTTGGCGCAGGTTATTCGGCACACCGTTTAGTAAGCTCAACAAAATCAGTGCTATTAACAAAAACAACAAGGTTACCTTATGTTACGAAACGCTGGACTATAAATACTCTTGTTTGGCATTTACACATCCCAAAACACAACATTTTTTAATATATAATGAGCGTAAGGTTAGTTATTTGGTCATCATTAGGGGTACATACTCTCATAGGGAAGAAAAGGCGCTTCCCGATGATTTATATTATATTTTTTCATTATTCACGCATCACACAAATATTGACAAGTGTATTGCGAATATAGTGTCACAATCCACATTCCGCGCAACTTAATTAAACAGAATATGTTATATAACCTCATAATAATCTATTGAATTCTGCACTCTACACCAATTTAACCGCGCCCTCATTTAATGAACTAACTTGTACTACTGGTTTTTTTTCTGTCGATATTTTTTGATGATTTTGGTCCGGTAATTATTTCAGTAAAGTATGACTTCGAAATCCTTAGCTCTATTTCCACTAACCGTTATATGAGCTGCTGAATCCCCGGCCTCATGTAAATTCGTGTATCGCTTCTCGTAAATCAGCTTCGAAAGAAGGAAACACGATTCGCGGCCAGGAGAGTCATTATTAGACGCACCAGCCCTATAGGAGATATTATTTGGTCTCTGTTCTACTGAACTACACGGCAGTGTTGTCGCGTCAGAGGGGGAGCACAGATTCATCTTCTCAATATTTTTTTTCTGTACTGCTCTTTGCCCATTCTTAGTATCCAATAGCGTGTACGCCACAGCCACTACTGTTCGCGGGAACATGATATGAACCAAATGCACTCTTGTGATTCTGCGATCGAGGGAGCGGGAACCAAGAGAAATGAGAAATTTGTTTTAAGATGATGTGAAGAAACGAGGTATGGGTGAGCACCACCCCCATTTGATAGAACTTCCTTGGGGCGACGAAAAAGCATAGAGCTCCGAAGACGTGGGGAGAGAGAAGGGACCAGATTTTCTATCCGACCTTCGTCAGCATTTGATTTTCGACCTTTCCTCAGTTTATTTTTTCTATAGCGAGAAATCGACATTTAAATATTTTTTCGTTCGGCATAAGAGTTGCAGCTTTCCCTGTAAGAATTTATATTTCTCGCCATTGCCTTGTTGTGCGTTTGTGATTCGAATTATCTGACTTTTATATTTAATTGTTTAGGGGGAAGTGCGTCGTGCCCCGGGGGGGGTTATTCACTTCTTATTAAGAGTTCCCTCTGACATTGGCACCCTCCCCGCTCGAGACAACTACCTATAATCCCCATAGTCCATAAAACAGGTTTATATATTTGAGTGCCGTGTTATTACGTCCGCCACAGTGGTCGATGGGCGCTCCACGTCGCTGCATGGGCAAGTCAGCCTCAGGAATGGTAAATTTGCATTGTCTGAACTTAAAGAGGTGTCTCGCTCCGGCAAAGTCACTTGTCAACAAATCCAAGAAGATAAAAGAGGTCACGGTAATAACAAAAGCAGGCTACGGGCATAAAAAAGAATGTGTAAGAGAATGAGTGAACACACAATAATGAGCGGTGGCACCCAATATAACATGTGTGAAGGAATAGAAAACAGCAAAACGGGGCACCTCGCCGGCCCATGCTTGAGGTGGTAACAAAATCCAGTGTCTCAGCGCACTTACTTCTTTCCCTCCCCCCAGCTGGCGCATATCATATCGAGGACTTGGCGAACATCTGGTTTTGGTTTGAGGGGTTTTATGAAAAAGAACGACCGTTATATTTATTGAACAATGTATTCCACCCGCACACACACCAACGCACCAAAAAAGATGGAAAAAAAAACCAAACCACATTGATCCAAGTTGTCCATTGAAACGGCAGACACTGAACCAAGCTCTATATCTCTGAAAGGGACCCTTTTGCAAGTAGGGAGCCCCGATCGCTCTACCAGGAAAGTTATTTCGTTCCGACTCTATCACCCATACAAATAAAATCACGAAAATCACAATTACTCCCGCGCCCCTTAATCAATATGATTCAGCAAAAACACTTGATACAAAAATCACACGAAGGTCTTTATAGTATACCGTTCATAGAGGCGCGGCGATGTGTATAGTGGAAAATAGTCAACTTATATTTACAATTTAAATTTTTTTCTCTCATTAGAACCAAATACTCTTTAAGAATAACTCAGACTCTGGGAGAGAGCGAACGCGTGAATGATGCTGATAAATTGTAACATTACTTTCCCTCGCTAAGTGTTTTCCACTGTCAAAATTAGGCAAATAAATACCAAATTTTCGAAAAATTTTACTTTGAACTTTATTTATTACCTATCATATGATAACATATTAATAATTA